CGATTTAACACCACGTATACTCTAGTGGATAATGCGCATCCTCAGAGACGACGTACAGTGCGAACTGAAGACGCTATTGCTGGTGTAGAGCAGAGTATAGAAGAAGACCCTTATGAGTTTATACGCCATCGCGCACAACAATTGGAAGTATGCCCATCCAATTTATAGAAGATTTTCGGAAGGACTTAGGTTTCCGGGCTAAAAAAATCTAATTCTTGGTATTAACATTAAATTATATGCATATTCTTTCCTCTTAGCAATCGTTAGTTTAGTTTGAGAAGAGCGATACCATCGCGGTGTCAAGCCTCAGCTGTATTTAGAATTTACTAAAAATCAGTTATAAATACCTGCATACCTGTGTTTAATATTTATCGCCAAAAAATTCCGTGGAACACTTCGGAATTAGCGAAACTCCTGATTAAAATTTTAGTGCCTTATGATCCTGTTAAAGCTCTGCAGTCATAAGTGAAGTCATCGAATCTTAATGTAAGCTAGGCAATACATTTTTCTGCTAAGGTACAACCATTAGATGGTTCTTTGGTCAACTGAGCATTTGTAACGCATATTGATTTGCCTTTCGAGACAGAATACCATATAGGCTTGTACGGGATTTGGAAATCCGGTAATAATACGCTGATTAGTATACTTCCTTTATACAAAAGTAGTTATTGATAAAACTAAAAAAGAAAGATATTTTGCTGTTTTACTGTTATTTAGAGCGTACATATTTATGTGCATATGTGTGGAACGAAATTATGAGTGTTTAGCGCCATCTGATGTGCGATAGCACTGTAACTTCTTTTTGTGCTCTTCAACTTGTAGAAGAAGCAGCAGCCATAAAACAAAACGAAATGTCAAAAACAGCTGCCAAAAGTTTATTGTTTTCATTTTCAACTGCAATGATTTATTATTTTCTACGCTGTATTTTGCGCTCAAATCGTTAAATTATTTATACGCAAATTAACATAAAAAGTGAAACGTTGTGCATAATTTGAGTGAAGCAATACGCTGTTGATCGGAAAAAATGTGCAAGACAATAATTTAACCACAAAAGCTGTGCTGACGAAAGGCTGTGTGCGTAATTTTGGATGTGCTGTGCAACGCTGTGATTATAAATAATCGAAACTTTGTAGCGTTTGCCGAACTTTGCTCTTACAATTTTATAAACAGCAACTAAACAAAGGTAGCTTAGAAAGTGAACAGATGGCTAATTGTGTGTAATAATGCTCAATTTCAATAAATCAATCGTATATAATTTTACTTCCTGTGATGCACGCATGTACATACATATGTAAATGTGGTAATGCTAAATAAGTTATGATAAGCGATGCCTTAATTTTTTTTGATGGCCTTGCAATCATTCGTTGTAAATAAACATTACGCTAGTAGCACTAAATAAAAATTACTTGCAATTTTCAGTATTAGTATATAGAAAAGCGATCCGCCTAGAACCGCGCAGTTGAATTAGATGTACGATAATATTGCCGGCTAATTTGCATTTTAAATTGATTGTAATATGTTTCACTGAAATCATTAATATGTGTGTACGAATGCACCGTCTTGAAATTTATTTCTCTAACCTCTAAAATCATATTCATTAAAAAGTAAACCTCGTTAGGAAAATTAAAAGAGTTAAAAAACATGAATTACTTCCGTCGTCTTCAACGCTATTAAAAAGTGTTTTGTGAAACACATGTTTGTGCTTTGAAATATTAAGTTATCTACATCGAAACACCTGTTTATACACAGATACTATAATGATAATTCAAGATAAAAAAGAAGTTATTGAAAGCTATTTGCTATACCCTGCACAGGGTATACTAAGTTTGTCACGAAATTTGTAACACTCCGAAGGAAACGTCGGAGACCCTATAAAATATATGTATGTAAATGATCAGCGTAACAAGCTAAGTTAATATAGGCATGTCCGTGCGTCTGTCTGGACATACTAGTCTCTCAGTGTTAGAGATATCGATCTGAAATTTTGCACACGTTCTTTTCTCCCCAAAAAGCTGTCCGTTTGTCGGAACCGACTATATCGGACACTTTAGCATATAGCTGCCATACAAACTGAACGATCAAAGTCATGCCTTTGTATGAAAAACTTTTTTATTTTACGAGATATCTTCACAAAATTTGGTATTGATTATTGTCCATGGCAACGGTACAATCTCCGAAGAAATTGCTTACATCGGATCATCCAAACAAGATAAAGATCTCTTTATATCCTTTATGCTTTAAGAAATGCACCTATAAAGGGTATTAAAGCTTCGGTGCAACGATGCGAAGCTAACGTTTTTCCCTGTTTTTTACTAACATATGAAATAAAATTAAATACTTATATGTAATTTAAGCATTGTGATTGTAATGATTTATCATTTATCAATTAAATGATGTCATGGAAATCACAATACAGACAGACAAGAGGCAAGGCTAAGGCATGTGTAATTTTACTGATTTTTTCCTCAAACAAGCGGGGAGTTCTCAGCTTCTATAATAAAGCTAAAAACTCGTAAAAAATATTAAATGAGTATACATTGCCGAGAAAGTCAATCAAGCTGATTTTTGCCGGACAGGCCCAAACTATCAACATGTAACTGACCATCCTTAACCTACATAGAAGATTGCTACACTTTAGATCTGAAAATCAAAACGTCGAAAGGTTAAATAAGATAATCCTTTGAGTGCCGTTAACACAGGGCGACAAATAAAAATTTGATGATTAACTAATGGCCGGAAGCGTAAAGAAAAAATTAAAAAACGAAACATGCAACGAAATAAATTCTGTAATCTAATATGTACATATATATGTATATTTTTACAATGCTTTGAAATTTGATAAGTTTGTGAATTGAAAATACGCTGTTGATATTGATTAACCTAGATAGTTATAATTCATATAGCAATTATATGTGTAATATATTATATATAAATATGTAGTAATAGCAATTAGATTTTCATATATGATTATTATTCGCGAAATGCCATATTTTAACAATTATATGAGAATCTTCATATATTCTTGCGAATGACCGTTCAAACATACATACGTATAAATTTCAGACAGACTTGTACTTCTTTTAACAATTGTATATACATATGTATATATTTTTGTGCATATGTACATATATTGGCTTGTGTTTTGAAGTTGAGTGCTCAGTTTATAGAATTGATACTTTTCTAAAGGGTTTTTTTTTCATATAAAAATTAAAAATATTATTCAAACTTTTTATTATTCCAAAGATATATATGTACATATATTACAAGGATTTTCTGAAAATTTCAAAGAAAAAATATTCAAAACTCCGCCATTACGACGACATTGTCGGCACTCCCTCGGAAAAAAAGGTGACTCCGCGTTGACAGCAGAACTTCTTATAGTGTCATCAAAAGTAAAAAAAAACAAGTAAGGAAGGGCTATGTTCGGATGTAACCGAACATTTTATACTCCCGCAAAGTCAAATAGTATACTCGTTTGAGATTTCTTTGTGGATTGACTGATATTTTCGGTGGAAGGTCAACTATAGGCACTGGGGTCCACATATTTAGTACTTAGGGGCTTAAACAGTTTTGCTTCGATTTAGACAATTTTTGGCCACAAGGTGGCATACTTTAATCGCATTATTCACGCATAGTTTTATCCCGATACAGTCATTGTTACCTCATTTGCATAGTGGAAAGTGAAAGAATCAGATGGAATTTAAAATGGTGTTATATGGGAAGTAGGCGTGGTTGTAGTCTAATTTCGCCCATTTTCGCACCATGACATAGAAACATGAAAAGAACGTTATGCACCGAATTTGGTTAAAATCGGTTAAGCAGAACTCAAGATATGGGGTTTCACCTAAAAGTGGGCGGTGCCACGCCCACTGTCTAATTTTGAACGCGGTTCCTATAAAGTCATCTCATACCATCCCAGAGATAAAATTTAATGTCTCTGGCGTGTTTAGTGCTTGATTTATCGCGCTTTTAGTAGTTTTTAACAGTACCGTTATATGGGGAGTGGGCGGAGTTGCCACCCGATTTCAACTATTTTCACACCGTCAATAGAAGTGCTAAAAAAATTTGCTTCTAGTGAATTTTGTTATTAAAGCATTAGCGGTTTAGGAGATATGCACATTAAACCTATTAGAGGCGGGACCACGCCCACTTTTTAAAAAAAAGTTTTAACTGCAGATGCCCCTCCCTAATGTGATCCTGTGTACCAAATAACAGTCTTGTATCTTATTGCGGAGCTTAGTTATGGCAAGTTATTTGTTTTTGATTAATGGCGTTTTGTGGGCGTGGCAGTGGTCCGATTACGCCCATCTGCAATACCAACCGTCTCACGGTACCAAGAAACATGCCTACCAAGTTTCATAATGATATCTCAATTTTTACTCAAGTTAGAGCTTGCACGGACGGACGGACAGACGGACAGACGGACGGACGGACAGACAGTCACCCGGATTTCAACTCGTCTCTTCATCCTGATCATTTATATATATATAACCCTATATCTAACTCGATTAGTTTTAGGTGATACAAACAACCGTTAGGTGAACAAAACTATTATACTCTGTAGCAACAGGTTGCGAGAGTATAAAAATACATGCTTTAAGTAAGATCATAAATTAGGTATTGGACGAAGCAAAAACAAAACAAGTAAGGAAGGTCTAAATTCGGGTGTAACCGCACATATTATACTTTCGCAAGGTAAAGTGAGTACGGGGTTTTCGTATATATTTTAACTAAAAGTAGGAAGTATTGCATCCATTATTTACAATCACAGGTAAGAAGATACACTATTATTAGAAAGAGATTCTTTCGGAATTTCATTAAGATTTCTTACATATTGACCGATAAATGGGGTATAAAGTCAACCGGAAGTTCGAAAATATTTATATTAGGTATTTGGGTTCAGCGATTCATTAACCCGATTCTACCTACTTTTGACAAGGGTATATTATTATCAAGGAAACATTTTCCCCGAATAAAGTTATATTAATTGTGCAAGTCATAAAAAAATTCATTTGAAAATATGAATTTTTTAATGTGGCTCTTAAAATAAAAAAAATTAAAAACAAGTATTAGTAGCAGTCTTAAATCTACATATATAGTATATGTACGTACATAGGTACATACTCCCAAAGAGCATAAGAAACAGTACAAAACGAAATTAGGAAAATCTTATCACCAATTGCTTGACCGCAGTTGAAAAAATGGCGCGCAATACAAAATAATGTAGACAACGGACGTTTCAAGCATAAATAAAGAAAACAAAGAGCATGAAAAGAGTAATTTTCACACTAAATATTAATACTATGCGCAAATATACAGTGTTGTACACTAAAATGGAGATAATTTTATATAATTGTTTTGATTTAAAAAATGCCTGAAATCTTTGATTTCAACTTTGTGAACGTCTTAAAATTTTGATGTTCCTCTGTTAAAAAAAAAAAATTATTAATACCGTTTATATATGGTAACCAAAGATTAGCAGGAAGTAGACTAAAAAGACACAGAGATTTCAAAAACACCTATACTCGTACAATGAAGCCTGTTACTCACAGTTAAATGCCAACACAGCGAACGCCTCTGCATGGATGATTTTCACAGAAAAGATCCTTCTCTCTCCCCGTGAATTGCGTTCAATGAGGTCTGATGATTCAAGATTATAGCGAACTCTCATCTCTATGGTTGATTTTCTCAGTAAGTATCCTATTCCCTACTCTGGATTGCTTTCAGGGAATGAAACTATCACACATTGCAGAAACGATGTCGAATTACCGCGCTTTAATAATTAAGTGTCAAAACATTTTTACGTTGTACTATTTTAATGAACTTCACTGTACTTATATGTTTGCCTTCATGAGCACAATATATACATATACCATATATGTATGTATATGTTTAAATATACATGTGTCTCATAGCTTCTTTATGCTTAAACGCAATCTTTCAGAGAATACAAAGAATATGTGCTCTTGTGTTGCAGATAAATTTTCAAGCCTTCCTGTTGTAGCAGTTCCTAAGCTCAGTCTGAAGGTTGTTGTTATCGAATGCGAAGTCCAAAAATACGCTTTTTCGATAGCGTTGTATATATAAAAGGACGTTATGTTGGTTAGCTGGGCTTTAAGGGATATTCAAAACACCCTACCCATCTTCTACTAATAACCTTATGCACCCAAGCTAAGAAAACTATCCGCTTTATGAAACTCCGGTTGGTGTAGTCAGAAAAAAGTTCAGCTCCAGCAACAATAATCGCCATTCCCACGACTGTGGGGTCTGTGCAATTGGGACGAACCCGGATTTTCATCTGGCGAAGTACTGGCAACTCGATTGTATTCCTCCAAATTACTTCAGGATTGTTTTCTGTCGCTACAACAACGACAAGAATAGCAACAATGATCCCATTTAGTCACTAACAGAAACTCTCAAGTTTTTTTTCCATCTCTCCGAACTTTCAACATGCACTGCATCATCCGGTTTTTATTAATTGACTTCAGCTGATCTTTGGAACTTACACACATACATCCATTTGTAGTGACTTTTAAGACTTGTTTACTCTAAATAAATTGAATGCTTATTAAATAATGTTTAAATAAAAATTATGACACTGCTGTTGCTTTGCGCTTAGCTCAAATTCAAAGCAATGAATTAAAAAACTTCTAAATATAAATTACATACAGCAAAGGTGCTTCATTACAAAACAAAAAACAATAGCTTCTGTCGACAAGCTATTATTTAATTGCTTCCTCTCGCCGCAGTGCGTTCAACGAGGGAAGTGTGTTGGTAGACGCTTTATAAAGTTTTAAGCGCTCAGGTGAACTCACTTGCCGCTGCTCACTTAACGATTTCTGTAACCACTTAGTGATTCAAGACGAATCAAGTAAGTCATTGTCTCTCAGATTTTAAGGATATCATAAGCTAAGCCTTATACCAGTTCGCAAACAATTTAATGCATACATAATATACCATACATGGAATAAGTATGAGGATGGGGAAACGAAACTTCGTTGTTGTAGAAGAATAAAACATAGAACAGTAAAGTGACCTAGATTAAACTCTCGCGGTTTGTTTTGTCGTTGCAGTAGCTTTCCTTATTTATTTAAAACTGCGAGTCTGCCACGGTTATCGTGGCAACGAGTAGACAGCTAAAGCCCTTCAAAGTGTGTTGTGGAACTTTATCAATCAGGTACAGCAAGAGCCTGAATAAGCCAAATATGTCGACCCTTGTGCTTGAAATAGTGTTTTTGTGAGAAATTCTTCTTCATTACTTTAATATAAAAAAAACCTCAACCGAAAATCATCGTATTTCGGTGAAAGTTTATGGTGAACATGCTCTAGCTGAGCGAACGTGTCAAAAGTGGTTTGCGGAATTTAAAAGTGGTGATTTTTGCTTGAAAGACGAAGCATGTCCAGGGCAGCTAAAAATGTTTGAAGATATAGAACTAGAATCATTACTCGACGAGGATTGTGGCCAAAGACAAGAAGAGCTCGCAGAATCTTTGGAAGTCACACAAGCAACCATTTCAAAATGTTTAAAAGCAGCCGAATATATTCGTTGTAAGACGATTTTGCATCTCTGAAGTGCTGCTTGAACGCTACAATAAGAAATGGTTTTTGCGACGGATTGTGACCGATTTAAAAAAAAAATAGATTCATTACAACAACGCTAAACGCAAAAAGCCATATGTGAAACTTGCCGAAGCATCCAAATCAACGGTAATGCCGAATATCCGCCACACCAAGGTAATGCTCTCTATTTGGTGGGATTAGAAGGACGTGCTGTATTACAGACTTCAAAAACCGCGTACAACAATTAATGGGGAACTTTACCGACAACAACTCATTACTTTGAAGAGAGCGATTGCCAAAAAAAACGCGCGGAATTTGCGACTTGACACGAGACAATAATTTTCCATCATGACAACACTCGGCCTCACGTTACAAGACTGGTTTAAAACACAGCGGCTGTGAAGTTTTGTCTAACCCGTCTTGTAGCCCGGACCTTGCCTCTTCTGACTACCATTTTTCCGGTCGATGCAGAACTTCCTCTCTGGAATCAAAACAGGGTTTAAAAAATGGGCTTTGATTCATTCATGGCCGCCAAGCTAGCGCAGTTCTTATGGGATGGAATCCACAGTTTGAGAGCGAAATGGGAAAATAATATGAAATATTTACAAAAATATCAAATTGATAAACCAGAAGTATTCTCTACTTTAAAAAGAAGGAGAAAAGTTGTTTGTGAAGGTATGCCTAAAGAAAATAGTCCATTGGGCATATATCTGGACTGTTAAGTGGCCAACTATTTTTCGAAGAACCCTTCTATGACTGAACCGCATAACTTAAGTTTTGTTGTTCTTTCTTGCATTTCTTAACACATGCTGTCTCTGTTCGGCACAGCTACCGAATGAAATGTATTCGAACATTTAGTGCAGGCTGTATTTATTATTAGTATTTATACTGCAAACATTTATAATTTATTTGTTAAATGCACTTGAAGAGTTAGAACAATAAAATTGTATACATATGTGTTTGTATGTATGCTCATTTTCTTGTAATAAAACAAGAATAAACGCTAAATTCGGTTGCACCGAAGCTATAATACCCTTCACAGGTGCATTTCTTATAGCATAAAATAGTATAAAAAATCTGTATCTTGATTTTGATCGTTAAGTTTCTATGGCAGCTATATGCTATAGTTGTCCGATTTTAACAATTTCTTCGGAGATTGCACCGTTGCCTTAAACAATAATCCGTGGCAAATTTTGTGAAGATATCTCGTCATTTAAAAAAAGTACGTGTGGCTCTCGGGCACTGCCGCGGTAAAGCTATTACATAGCATTTTTAAATCAACTTATGCAATTATAATTATTTATTTATTTTTCATGCAGTATTCTGTTCCAAATGGTGGGGTAGCTATTTACTAAACTAATAATATTGTTACTAATATTATGGCTCTGAATATTGAATAATTTATTTTTTATTAATTGCATTTTTAGTAAATTTTATATTTTTATTTGGCATTAAAAAAATTATATCTTAAATATTATTATTTTTGAATCGCCCTGCTGTCTCTCCAATTGATGTGTGCCGCTTGAGATATGCGAAAATACGCCTACAAGTATGCAAACATTTTGTGCATACTTTGTGATCGTGTTAAGTTTATTTCCGTTACGGAATTTCTTGATTTGGTCACAGCAGCTTCTTGGGTAGAAAATGACGTGTGCAAAATTACAGATCGATATTTCAAGAACTGAGTGACTGAGCGACTCGGTTCATCATGCTAAGCATGATTATATATATTTTATAAGGTCTACGAAATTTTCTTTGGAGTGTTAAAACCTTCGTAACAAACTTAATATACCCTGTTTAAGGTATAAATATCATCGCTGACATTTTTATCACCTTAAATAAACTATATTTAGAATACACACGCTGTCAATCATCCAAAGATTGCCTGTTTTACTAGCGCTATTTATCAATAAAGTAAACTTCTAACAATCGATTTAGGGTTATCATAACGCTAAGCGCTAGCTGCTGCTTAGTGGCTATAAGATTGTGACATAGCAAAGTACAACAAAACGCGCTGCTCGAAACACGCCGCTGTTAATAGTGATAAAGTGTAGCAAAGTTCAGTATACAGTAGTAAAATAAAACAACAATTAGTGTATACAATTGCATATGTGCTTGTTATTGTTGTTTTAAAATAAATAAATTGTGAATTTTATTAATTATACAAGTTTTGCAAAACAAACAATTCACTTCTCCATTACAGCTGTACCCGAAGTTATAAGCAAATATTTTACTGGCAACTAAATGTCTACATTAGCAGGAATCGACTTAAGTTATGTTAACATATGGTATTTATGGAGATATGTTTTTGTTTTGAAAATTTTATTCTATTAACTTTTCTATAAATAAACTTTATTTAGACTCACCTTTTCCGGAAATCGCATATAGAAATTTAAAGTAGCTCGGTCGTATGGTCTTCGATTCGAGAATGCCTGCATGAAAAGTACAGCCGTACAGAGGAATACAAGAATAGCATAAAGCCGGATACATGCGAAGAATGCCTCCTTAATGCCTAAATTGTAGTTTATCTATTGGGGAGAAATATATAGTATATAATTTTATTTGAGAACTCATCTGATATTTACATTATTTAAATACTTATATTTTTAATGAAGTCACATGTTTACTATGTAGCCACCCAATTCGATCCGGTCAGAATCAATGGTGAAAAGGTTTCTCGACACTTTTTTATTTGAAAATGGTCAAATTCGGTATCAACGATACTACTTTTCATTTAATAACATTTGTAATAAATATCAAGTATTTTCGTAATAGCTCCATATATCACAACCTTAATATCCAATATAATGATAATCCAATACCAACTTAATATCTACCGAAAATGAATGAAATCGGTTCATTAGGGATTTTAGGCTTTATTTTATTTTTAAGTTATATGATTAATATTTGGGAGAATGCTTCGTTTAACGTATTATGAGTGCTGCTGTTAAAATGTATAGAATCGATCCGTAAAATAAATAGAAATATAATTTAAGGAATGTCTTACATTCTTGCAGAAGTTTTTTGGAATACCTTTATTTCTAATTGGTTTATATACTTACTTGCAATGCTTTCCACATAACATACAATGCCAGTTACATCGGATATTTAGTGAAGGACACGCTGGCCAA